ACATCGGTTACACAGTAATCAGTGAATCCGGAATTCGTCAGCGGCATCTGCCTGAGAAGCCATCGCTGAAAAGCAACAACCGTCCACTTGGTGAAACAGCTCAGATGGCTTGCCGCATTGTACAATCTTTCCTCTGCTTAACACAACCAGGCGATCCGAGTCCATCACCGTATTTAGTCGATGCGCGATCGTCAGCACAGTGCAATCGACGAAGCACTGTCGTAGAGTGCGTTGTATCAACGAATCCGTGCTGAAAATCAAATCAGCTCATCAGACCTGACGGTCGGTCATTCAGCGACCGATTTACCTCAAATCCACGTTCGCTGTTGCCTCGTCCAGCACCAAAATCTTGTTTTTTCGTAACATAGCCCGGGCCAAGCAAACCAGCTGCCGTTGACCGACGCTCAAGTTCACACCACCTTCGTAAGTTTTAGCACTCAGTCCATCGGGAAGAGCTGTCACGAGTTTATCGAGTTCCACCTAAATGATGTTCGTGCTGTCAAAATTTTGTAAACGCTACCTCTCCCTCGAATGAATCGCAGGGGAAAATTCCCCACGGCTTCGAGAAAGAATCTACTGTTGAAAATAATCACATTAATTTTTAAAAAAATGACTAGACAATAAACCAAGTTATCTGAAAAGCATATCAATAAAGTCAACTGTACAACGCGCAACCATGAGCTAATTTCAAAAACGGGAAAGACACTGAAACTTTTCGAGTCAGCACTGATGTTATCAATTCCAGTGAATACATTGCACAAGAAATCAGAGAAGCATTATCGGCAATACTTTCAACCAAACGTAATTTTAACTTACTAACGCTAACGCCTTCCAAAGCTCTTCGTCACTGTATTCGTCGAACGGATCAAGATTCGATCGTAATGTTCCTATGAACAATACTGGATCCTAAATCAACAAGCATAAATAAACAGCCAACGGCGTATGTTTATATCAAGTTAAGCGCTAAGCGTCCAGGGTACTGAAAAATGCACAACTATAAGCTAGAAGACAATGACCGCTGCAAACTACAATATGTTCCTCTTAGGACGGAAATTTGGCAATTTTGTTTGTTATTACTTAGCCACCGAATCGATATGGCGACAGCATGTCAATCGTGAACTGTACCAGACCCAGATAAAGACGGAGTTGAATCTTCGAAAGAATCTGAGTCGCCTCAAAAGCCCATTTTACCCGCTTGTACCTCATTTACTGAACTGGCTCGAACATTTCCGCTGAACAAGCGTCGTTGCTTGTCTTCCTTAAAGATCGACGAACTCTTCCGTCCCCATGAAGATGCAAGCATAGTCATGCTAAAAAGTAGCGTAAAACACGGTTTACTTACACACAACCCAAAAGACACTGTGATCAGTCCGGTGACTGATCAATACGTTTAAGCCAGTGTCTCACGGGCCTTCTTCAAAGTAAGTATTAATATAGTTTCATGAATG